GGCGCCGACCCAATTGGCAGTGGTGTTCAATGGGTCAGAATAAATAGTCATCTTCCAAGCTTGAAGGGCAATGTAAGCTCGCCGAAGTCTGGGACTGGAGAAGGTTTCGTTGACTTGGATTTTGGTTTCATAATCATCGGACAAATCATCGTTCTCATGAAGGGTCAAGAGCTGGCGGCGTGTGATGGAATAAACTTCGGCATCGGAAAGAGCCGACAAAAAAAATGAAAATGAAGATAGAAGAAGAAGAGAAACGAACAAACAGCAATCCAGACCCTTCATTATATTGATATTTATTTCTAATAGATATGTGCCGCCTCCTTGGGTAAGCCCAAGGGCTGTTTGCAGAGGATGAATCTCAAAGGGGTCTACGACGGGTTTTTATACCGGAGGGTCATGACCCGATTTGGTGGTGGAGAGGCTTTTTCGAAGCTTCCAACGGTTGTTTTCCGAATATACTGGAGTCCCGTTCAACATAAATGCTGGTTTTTTTTTATTATTATTATTATTATTATTATTTATTCAGACTGTTTCTTCAAGATTGTGGCTCCCTTTGATTTTCTTCTAACTACTTTTTGTTTTTTTTTTAGTACGTTCTAACTAATTACAGGCTACAGATGGTTGTTACGACTTGCGAAAATGAGATGGAAGAAGACGACTCTTCTGATATTGGGCCGTGCCCATATTCTTAAATGGGCACAAGCCCAAAATTAAAATAACAGTAGCTCGGTACGTATTAGTATTATAAATTCATTATTAGTCTATCTCAAAAGGAAAAAAAAAATCATTACTAGTAATTTAAAGTTTTCAATTTTACTTTCATATGTATTATAAATTCTAAATTACTGTCTTTTAGCTTTTCAATTTTATTAACAAAAAGCTTAGAGTTCTACCCGTAAAATAAAATGTTTGTATCGTGTTTCAAGTTTGGTAGATTATTAAAATATTGTCTTTGATTGTGTTACAATTACACACTCGTGTAAGTATCATTATCTTATTCCATTAAATGGTTTTTTTTCCTTTTTCTAATTCCGCAACAATTTTAGAACTATATATAATCTCCAAGTCCTTAGAGTTAAAGTTTTTGTATAATTAAATAGTGACCAAAAAGTCCTTCGAATTATATACTTTGATGTTTGATCAATTTTCACATCTTAAATAAAATATTAAAAAATATAAAAAAGAAGAAAGAAACATGCCAATTAGAAAAAGACATAGTAGCACTGTTATGGAATCCTAGAGATTTGAACCCAACATATACATATAATCAAAAGCCATGACCCGCTAGCGTAATCATAATCAATAGTTTTTTTTTTTCTTTTGAGAAAATAAATATGAAGATATTATAAAGTTTTTAACTTTTTAAAGATGTCGGTAGAAAAAATGGATATCACGTATTTTTTCCAAAATTATAGTTAAGTTAAATAATCAACTCGGTATATGTGATTTATACTAAGTTTCTATATAGTTTATGATGTTTTAAGTTTCTAGAACCAAAGGTCTCTCATGATACAAATTTTCATTTGGTATTTCTGACTTGGTTTAATTTAATAAATATTTTACCTACTAAAAAAATCTTCTTACTTTTCCATATGTTTGTATTCATTTCCAAATTTTGATACAATCGATAAAATAGTAAATACCAGACTCGTTCATATTAAATAAAAAATGTCAAATATTTAATATGATAGTTCAACCTGAAGTAAAACTTTTTAAATCATGAGGACGGATTTTAAATTAAACAAAATTCATATTACAAAAACTAAATTGAAAATTTTAAAATAATAGGAAAGAAATAAAAACTAATTAACTTATTTCAGTGATGTCTTTTTTTACTTTTATTTTTATTACTTTTTAAGTGTGATACAATAGGTTAAACAACTCCATGAATTATATTTACAAAATCGATAAAATAAACTAAATAAAATTCTATTTCAAAATTTATTGACTGAATTAAATTACCATAATAACAAATTAATTAGAGTAAAATACTCTTAGAGATGTTTTCTTCCCACTAATCATATTGAAATATTATGAAAATAAATATTTTTATCTGGTAAGCATATAAATAATATTAATTAAAAATAAATAGATGCTTCAACATTCAAGGAGCATTTCGTTAGAGTTTATGTTAAATATCAAAGGTGACGCTTGTAAAAGTTTAGAGGTGAGTAAAAGTGGTGGATAAATGTATAATATTTTGAAACTTAAAGACAAATAAAAGTGAGTAAAGCTCATAACTTAAACGTAATTGTGTAACATTTCAAAATTTAGTGACTAAATCGAGATTTAAGGGGTAAAATACAAGTATTTTCCCAGTTTAAATATAATGGATAAATTCATAATTTAACGAACTCTACCTTTTACTTTTTTATTTATTAATTATAAACAATGAATCATGGTCTGTTGACCACTTTATAGAAAACGTGACGGATGGTGGGAACATGTAATGTGATGCCATGCAAGTGCAAGTATGCATCATGCATGCATGGCGGGTGCACTTTTTTATAAAGTAGGTTTGCGATTTAATTACTGGAGATAATTAAGATTATGATTAGCAAAATTCACTTCGTAATTATGTGAAAGTTTCAGAGAGAGAGATAAGAGATTGTACTTTTAAGCTATGTGATCAAGACATTTCAATCAATGTACTATTCCTCAGAGGATCGGGGTGCGGAACTTCCGCCAGTGCTGGCGCCTTCGGCAGCGCCTCTTAAGCCGCCCCCGATTGTTGATTGGGATTTTGATAGGGGTTGGACGACCCCAGGTACTGGCAGGATTCGCGGGCGAAGCCGAAAGCTGCTGCACGACCTCTGGAGCGACTATCTTAGCCGTGGGATCGGCCTCGCCTAAGAAATGAGTCGTTAGTTTGATTCCTCATCCCATGTGTTTTACTAAAAAAAACTATTTCAATTATTATATTTTCGATTTTAGTTTATTATACTTTCAAATGTCTACTTTTAATTTTATATTTTCCATTTTTGTTCAATTTTTATTATTGTGTGTTTATTTTGGTCTTTAAAATTTATATGTTTTTCGTATTTTCAAAAAATTTTATAGAAATTCTTTTAATACATTTTTTTTATATTACTGGACTAAAATCAACTTACATTTGTCAAAATAATATTTAAATCTAAATTATACAAAATGCTAGATTCAACCATTTACTCCCCGTTAAGTCATTTTAATGGTGTTTAAAAAAAAAAGTCATTTTAATGGAGATCCACAGAATAAATTTTTTGATGAAATAAATTAACAAGACTGAAGTCAAATTGAAACTAATCAAATAAATTAAGGGCATTTTGTACAGCCATTAATCTACCAGTAATAAAGTTATAAGTTGGAACTTGGTGGAAGGTTGAAGAGTTAGATAAATTGACCTACTTTTGTATTCACTACAAAATATAAATTGAAATTCAATCATTTTCCTCTTCTTTTTATAATTAGAGTGTGGACGAAGAAGACCTTTCGCCCTCAAACATTCTACAACTTCGAGCAGACACGCAGTAATTGCGATTTGGACTTCACCCGCTTTCACTCTAATCGAAGAATCAGGAAATGAAATAAACAAAAACAAAAGGGCAATTGGATTTGGCCTCAGTGGCCCATGGGGAAGGTGTGTAATAATGCTGGAGGATGTGAAAGAAACACCCACCAAGCATTCAATGCGGACATGTTTTTGTATTGACTGCCATAGTAATTGTGGGAATTGATGAGATTTTGTTAACCCCTTTTTTTCTTTTTCTTTCTCTTCTCTCCTCTTGTTTCTGTGCTCTGCATTTACTTCCAGCTGAGAGAAAGTATGAAACAAAGTGGGAGAGTGGTTGGTGGAGCTGCCGATATTGGTTGGAATTGGAAGAGTTGTTGAACGCTGTTTTCTGCCGTTATGTTTAACACAACAATTTTCTTTTGTTTTTAAGTTCCCATCTCTCCCAATCTCTTGTCTGTGGAAAATGGGGGTCTGGTTTTTGTCAGATTTTCGGTTTTTCTTAATGCTTCCCTAGGCGCTAATAAAGCTCTGTGAAAATGGGTATCTGGCGTTTTGTGTAAATCTTTGGGATCCTGAGTTAAAGAAAGCAAAAGTAATCTTGGGGGCTGGGTTTTGCATCCTATTTAATGGGGTTTTTTGAATTTTTGAAAAAGTTCAGTCTGCTGCTGCAGCTGAAATTTGAAATGAAACCAGTGAGTCATGGGCCCTCGAAGAAAGTAAGGGATTCTCCTCTCTGATCGCATTAAAGGTAATTGTATGACCCTTTTGTTCTTTGAAATCTTTTCCTTTATTTATACCTCTCTTTAAGACCCATTGATTTTGATCTCCCAAAAGTTTCCCTGCTCTGAATGGAGGAAATTAATTCTTGTTGCGGTTTGAACTGTTGTAGGTGATAAAGTGAAGGCTTCTCACCAAAAGCTAGCAATGTGATGACTTGTTGCATCTGCCTTACCAGTTGAATTGAAAAAATTAAAGGAAAAGAGAAGCAGCTGATTCTTTTTCCCTCGGAAAATCAGAAACCCCTCTTTTGCTTTCGTGTTTTTTCCTTCTTTTTTGAGTTTGAATTCTTCTGCTTAAAGCCTGGGTTTTCTTGAAGTGGAGCTTGTACAAATTTGCCTTCGTTTGGCTTTATGTAGAGTTCAATTCATGCATCTTTCACTATGGAAGCCCTTGTCCCATTGCGCGGCTTTAATCATGGAGAAGAAAACCAGAAGGCGCCACGGTTCTGGTCCAGCCGAGAGGCGAAAATCCTCCATTCTCAGGCAATTGCAAGAGAACAAGCTGAGGGAGGCTCTTGAAGAAGCTTCTGAAGATGGGTCTCTCGTAAAATCCAGAGACATTGACTACGAATCGCCGAATCAAGACGGGAATGTTCGACGGTCGAGATCTCTCGCTCGGCTCCACGCCCAGAAGGAGTTCTTACGCGCCACCGCACTCGCCGCCGACCGGACCTATTGCACAGAAAACATGATTCCGAATCTCTTCGACGCCTTCACCAAATTCCTCACCATGTACCCGAAATTCCAGTCGTCGGAGAAAATCGACCAGTTGAGATCAGAAGAATACGAGCATCTCTCCGAGTCGTTCTCCAAGGTATGTCTCGATTACTGTGGTTTTGGTTTATTTTCCCACATTCAGACCCAGCAATTCTGGGAGTCTTCGGCTTTTACTCTCCATGAAATCACTGCAAATTTGAGCAACCACGCCCTCTACGGCGGCGCCGAGAAGGGCACGATTGAGCACGACATCAAGACTAGGATTATGGATTATCTGAACATTTCTGAGAATGAATATGGGCTTGTTTTTACAGTCAGTAGGGGGTCTGCCTTTAAACTCTTGGCTGAGTCTTACCCTTTTCGTATGAATAAGAAATTGTTGACCATGTTTGATCATGAGAGCCAATCTGTGAGTTGGATGGCTCAGAGCGCTAAAGAGAGAGGAGCAAAAGTTTACAGTGCGTGGTTTAAGTGGCCAACGTTGAAACTCTGTTCTAGGGAGCTGAGGAAGCAGATTTCAAACAAGAGGAAGAGGAAGAAGGATTCTGCTGCTGGGCTTTTTGTGTTTCCTGTTCAGTCTAGAGTTACTGGGGCCAAGTATTCTTACCAGTGGATGGCTCTTGCCCAGCAGAACAATTGGCATGTATTGCTTGATGCCGGGTCGCTCGGTCCCAAGGACATGGATTCGTTGGGGCTCTCCCTCTTCAAGCCTGATTTTATCATCACGTCGTTTTATCGTGTTTTTGGGTCTGATCCGACTGGGTTTGGTTGCCTGTTGATTAAGAAATCTGTTATAGGAAGCTTGCAGAGCCAATCTGGGCGGACTGGTTCAGGAATGGTGAGGATACTCCCCATTTTCCCGCAGTATATTGGCGATTCTACTGATGGTTTGGATGTCTTGGCTGGGATTGAAGATGATGTGATCATTGGGAAGGAGGATTCTGAAACTGAGAAACATCGGGAATCACACATGCCTGCCTTTTCGGGTGTGTTTACGTCGAACCAGGTGAGGGATGTCTTTGAAACTGAGATAGAACAAGATAACAATAGCTCGGATAGAGATGGGGCTAGTACCATTTTCGAGGAAGCTGAGAGCATCTCAGTTGGGGAGGTTATGAAGAGTCCGATCTTCAGCGAGGACGAGTCATCGGACAATTCATATTGGATTGATTTGGGTCAGAGTCCATTCGGTTCTGATAATTCTGGCCATTTGGTCAAACAAAAAACATGGTCACCCTTACCGCCTTCTTGGTTCTCTGGAAAGAGGAACAGTATGCAGCTTTCTCCAAAACCAGCATCTAGGCTGTTGAAAAGTCCGATATGCAGCGATGATAAGCGGGTGAATCCCAGGCACCATGAAGATTCGGTGTTGTCTTTTGATGCAGCTGTATTATCAGTGTCACATGATTGCAGCCGTGTGAAGGGGATTCCTGAAGAAGAACAATCTGGAGAACAAGACTCTTGCTCTGGAAATGTTGGAAGTTTGAAGGATTCTCACGGTGTTAGTGAGATCCAGGAGGATTCAGAAACAGGAGAAGAATCGGTCTCGACTAGGTTGAGTTCCGCATCAAACGGAATCCAACCTGCAAATCAGACTTCCGAGTTACAGGATCTGAAGCTTCCAAATTCCACAACATCAGGAGCTTTCAAAGACTTGAAGGAAAGTGCCATAAGGAGGGAGACAGAGGGAGAATTCAGACTCTTGGGCAGGAGGGAAAGGAGTAGATTTTCTGAACGTGGACTCTTTGGTTTAGAAGAGGGAGATAGAGCTATAAGCATGGGTCGTCGAGTATCATTTAGCACAGAAGAAAATGAAAAAGAAAGCTTGAACGAGATGTTCGAGCTTGGGGAAGCATCTAATGCAGCTTTTGGCAATGAGGAATCCATGAGTGACGGAGAATATGTCGAGGAGCAAGAATGGGGAAGGAGGGAGCCTGAAGTGATTTGTCAGCATCTTGATCATATTGATATGCTGGGCCTCAACAGAACTACCCTCCGACTAAGGTATCTCATTAACTGGCTCGTCACTTCGTTACTTCAACTCCGATTACCCAGTCGAGATGATGCAGGAGTTCACCTTGTGCAACTGTATGGACCAAAGATCAAATACGAGAGAGGCGCTGCGGTTGCTTTTAATGTAAAAGAGAGCAATGGGAGAGGGCTAATACACCCAGAAGTTGTACAGAAACTTGCTGAAAAGAATGGCATATCTCTTGGAGTTGGTATTCTCAGCCATGTGCGGGTAGTAGACGTTCCAAAGCAGAATCCTGGATCGTATGATCTCGAAGACATGGCGTTGAGCAAACCAATGGTTAATAGCCGAGGCCATGGTAGAAAGAAACTATTTTTCCGAGTCGAGGTTGTCACGGCATCCCTTGGATTCCTTACCAACTTTGAAGATGTTTACAAGATGTGGGCTTTCGTTGCCAAGTTTCTAAATCCATCATTTCTTGAAAACAATATCCTGTCTTCCGTCCCCGAGGGTTCGGAATCATAACCCCGGGAGCCTGTTTTAGAGCGTTCTTCGGCTTCCTCCCAGTTTGTGCAAATAACAGACAGTACCTTCAGCAGAACTAAAAAAGAAAATTGTGAAAGTTGAACTCATTTATCAGGGGATGCTGCAACAAAGCAGCACACCCTGCTAAAAGTCTCAACTCTTCCTACAAAGCAGATGGATTCATTCATACCAACTGCAGCGACACGGTTTGTTTCAAGGAAGCCTTTTTAAACACAAGAAAGCTCGAGCTTCGGATTTCTTTCATGCATTGTTGCAACGCTCTGCAGTGAAATCCAAACCCGAGCTTAGGCAAGAGGGAAGGCTTGGCTGGTCTCTGCCATTGATTGATCTTCTTAGTTAGATTATACAAGATTGGTAGCTAGCTAGGCTAGGTAGGCTGGTGCTTTTAACTTTGCCAACAGCTAATTTACAAACTTATTTGAGATTGTAAATCTTTTTGTGCATTTTCTTACCGATATAGAATCTCTGCTCTTTGTGTTTTGCAGATGTGCTTCTTATGTTCTGATTGTATTTATTTATTTAAGGATGTAAACTTGTTATTCAATGGATTTCTCTTCCATATTTCTCATTAAAAAAAAAAAAAAAACATATTCCTTCACATATTGTCAACTGATCGTGTGGTGAGTTTCCATGTTTGGTTAATTAGCTGTAGCATTTGACATTTATATTATGTCTCAATTTGTCTGAAGTTTATGATTTTTTTAGTGACCAATACTTCTTATATGGTCACTGTGCTGTCGAACTTGGGGTTATTTTTCTGATTTCTAATGACTCTATTAAGAGGAAGAGGGAGTTTTAAAGGAATGAAATATCTCTTGACGTGTCTATACTTTTATTATATTGTATAAATATGTCTATACTTTTATTATATTGTATAAATGTCAATAATACGACTTCTAATTGTGATTTTTATTATACTACATAAATATCAGTAATACGATTTTTAATTGTGATTTAACTCTAGTATGACACATTCCAATACTAGATATTTAAGAGAAAAGTATAGATTAACAAAAATTGAGAATTGGGGACGAAACCAAGATTTTAGATATCGATGTCGATGAAAATTCTGAGTTCTTAATTTCTGAAAATATCGGAAAATGTCCGGTGGTAATTACCAGTGTCTTTGAAGTAGTAATGATATTCCTCCTAATAGGTACAGGTAAATATTCTACAGAACTTGTTTATTTATTTTTTATAATTTTAGTTTTACAATTTTGACATTTATAAAGTCACGACACGATTTTAATTTTCTTACCGAGAAAAAGGTCACAGATGTCTGACTACTGACACATCCCACACGTGTGACCGTGGCACCCGAAGCAGCGCTTCCCACTACTGGGTTGATTTTGCCAGAATCCCAAAACTCAAATCTCTCCTCCTTCAAGCGACCGGAATTGCCATTCTTTCTCCGTTAATCGTCGGTGTTTCTTAGGGTTTTCTGTGCTTCTTTTTTCTCTCTTCTCCTCTCAATGTTCTGTTCTGTGGCGAAATTTTCTTCAATGTCGTTTGTTTCGTCAAGATATTGCTCAAATCCCTATTGACTGGAACCTGTTCATGCGGTTTGATTATGGAGACCGAGTCTCGGCAGGAGATGGTGACCGCCAGGCGGCCTTGCTTCTATATCTTCTATTCCTCCTCTCTCTGTTCAGAACGACTGGTAATTTCTTCGGATTTCGCGTTCTTCTGATTATGTTTCCTGTCATTATTTGAGAAATTAGGTTAATGCGAGCATGCACTTGTAGTTTTACATCATATGTGACCGGATTGAAGTGGATTCCAAAATCCTTCTCTCTTCTCTCTTTTAAGAAGTTAGAGATTGCTTTTGCTTTGTCTTCGGTTGTCTCTGTTTTCTGGGGAGGTTTATAGAGTCCAGTTCAGTACTGCGAGGAAGGAAACATTTCTTTGAATAAAGGTCTAAATCATTCCATGACAGTGGCGTCGTTTTTGCATCATTTTGCTTCTATATGTTTTTGTGAGAAACAGCTGCTCTGTAACAATCCGTTTTGCATACAGGCCAAAGATGAATCTGTTGCGCCATTTGTGTTTAGTGGCGATCTATTGCATTGTCCTGTGCTGATTGGATTTGGATATTGTTATTGCAGAAACTTCCGTTGAAATTTGTTAGACACTTGGAAGAAATAATAGCCCGATCAGTTGTGCTAATTGGTCCTAGCGGCCAAACGTGGCTCGTTGACTTGATCCAGCAGAACGATAACTTGTTCTTCTGTGACGGATGGCCAACCTTTGCACGAGATCATGCCCTAGAATGTGGTGATTTTTTGGTTTTTAGACATGATGGCGACTTGCATTTCACTGTGCAAGTCTTTGATCAAAGTGCTTGTGAGAAAGAGGGTGCATTTTATTCTGAATGCAGTCAAGATAACACAGGCCATAAAAGAGATAGGGAGGAGGACCATACACCCTCAGATAAATGTGCGGAAGCTGTGGCAAAGAAAATGAGGAGCATTTTTGATGTTCATTCAGAGTGCAGGGAGAACCTAGCAGGTAAGCTGGTTTCTAGTCTTATGGCCTTTGCATAGAACCTAGAGGAGATGCATTTCTGTGGACACGGCCCTTTTCAGCTCTTTTTTAGTTCCATAACCTACCTGCAAATCAGGAGGCAAAAATTTATCCTTTGAAGAGATACTTGGTTAAAATAATCATTTCTAGTGATTTATCAATAGTTGTATAGAGTGTAAGCTACTTATTCTCATGTGATTGGAAACTAATTGGATCATACCTTGTTGTTTTCAGTCATGAAAACTGTTGAGGTCCATAAAAATGGAGCTGGCCAGAACGGGATCAGTAAAGTTGATGATGTGACTACGCAAGATAAAATTTTGGCCTTGTCATTATCATCTCAGGATGAGAAAAAAGTTTCTCAGTCATTTACCTCCAATTATCCATATTTTGTGAGAATCA